TGGTGGCCTTAGGGCTGTTTTCTGCTCTTTGGTCTGGTTGTTGTCTCTTTGACGCATTCCCCGTTTCCATTCTCTAGTTTATTGATAATCTCCCTTTTCAATCAAATCGGTTAACTGAAATCTGGCGCTAAAATTGGTTATACGCTAGCGCTTAAACGTCCGATTTTTTCTCTAAAATATCCTATTGATGCGCTAAAACGTCCTCTGCCGTTCTAATGTTTAAATGAGTACGGTTACTAATATGAATTATTGTGCATTGGATAGATTTTTTATATATTTTCAAAATCAGTATTAAAAGTTGAAATTTTGGTTGAAAACATTATATACAGTAAATTAATGTATCAAAGAACTGCTAGGATGAAATGTGTTGACCAAAATGATGAAAAACATTATGAATAGAGAACAAACAAGTTCAATAGATATCTGCCACAAATATTAATAAATTATATAATTTGGGTATATTTTTTAAATCAGCAGAAAAAAAAATCGGATTGAATTGTATCTAATCATAAAATTGAGAATGGAAATGGGGAATGTGTCAAAGAGAAAATAACCCGACCATAGAACAGACAACAGCAGAAGGTCACCAACAGGTCTTCAATGCAGCGAGAAATTCCCGCACCCGGAGGCGTCCTTCAGCTGGCCCCTAAACAAATATATATACTAGTTCAGTGATAATGAACGCCATACTAAACTCCAAATTGTACACAAGAAACTAAAATTAAAAATAATACAAGACTAACAAAGGCTAGAGGCTCCTGACTTGGGACAGGCGCAAAAATGCGGCGGGGTTAAACATGTTTATGAGATCTCAACCCTCCCCCTATACCTCTAGCCAATGTAGAAAAGTAAACGCATAACAATACGCACATTAAAATTCAGTTCAAGAGAAGTCCGAGTCTGATGTCAGAAGATGTAACCAAAGAAAATAAACAAAATGACAATAATACATAAATAACAACAGACTACTAGCAGTTAACTGACATGTCAGCTCCAGACTTCAATTAAACTGATTGAAAGATTATGTCTTCATCATATGAATATCAGGCACAATCCTTCCCGTTAGGGGTTTAGTATCATACCATCATAACATATATGAGAAGAACATAACCCGTGTCATGCCAACAACTGGTTTTTAAATAAATGTGTGTAGTGCCGATGCAAAGACCCTATAAGTGAATCAATATTAACGCCAAAATATATAATCTTTAATGACCTGACAACAGTATCGTAACTATATCCCTTCTATCAACCATTTTCATTACAGAATACCATTCTCCGCTTGTATTGTGTATCGTATAGAATTTTATTTACACTAAATTATTCATATATTGTTAATCTAAAGAATGTTTTGTAAAATTTCTATTGGTGCACATAAAGTTATTATCATTATATCTCTATATTATATAAGCTGTTATTATATTTGAATAAAGTATTATTATGAACGCAAAAATCCACAGAAGGTTTGAAAAATATTGAAATCTGTAAAAAAAAATTATAAATCTTTTTCAAGTATTACTTTGTAATATTTTGGATAATACAAATATTTGGCATAATACAAAGTAATACTCGGAAAAGATTTATAGGATTTTCATAACAAGAAAGAATTGGAAAACTCTTGACATTTAATTTCAAATAATACTAAACAACCCTTATGCGAGAATATTATCATCACTGAAATAGAATAACGAGATTGTGTCACTATCGACATGAAGTGATCACCAATGCTTGGTAAAATATTATAATTTTAATTATTATTATTATTATTATTATTATTACAATTTTTATGGTATCACTTATTACCTTTTAGACAGGCTTTCTTTCAAAGAGTGAAGAATGTAAGGACTACTGAGCCTATTTTTTTCGAAATAAAATGTTATCAGGTGTACAACTTGATGTCGAAGTAAATCAATATCAAAATCATATCAATGTTGTTACTTTGATGTTGACAGACTAAGCTTTAAATTTCCGGAAAATAAATTACGTAATGCTATCAAAACTAAGGTTTTAACTACATCAGGCAAGTTTTATCTAAGAATGACTGGGCTATTCTGTTTAGAGCATTTTGATATGTATGCTCTCAAATATTGAAGGCAATCTGATTAAAATACATATCATGTGTCCCTGCTTCGCTTACAAGGTCTTTATAGCTATAGCTCAGCGTAGACATATGGACATAAGAATGTATTTTTGGCTACCTAAAATTTTAATTCAGAATTTTCTTGGTGATTGTTATACCAGAAAGACTGTTGTGCTGAATTAGGTACAATATCTATTACACATATGAATCGATGTTATCATATGACTATAAAAATTCTTTTTTTCTCATTGGCTAAAAACAAAGTTAATCTCCCTTGATAAAACATTATATTCACCGCGAAAAAAAAATCATGAGAGGTAAATATAAGATTTGGTACGGCTAACGTGTACCTAAATATAGCTCTTCCAAGGTAACGTCAAAGACGTATGCTTATTGCGTCATGCAAACTCTCATTTTTCTTCTAGTTTTCATTGTAATTTTTTAGCACATTTTGTTGAATATTTCAACATACAAAAGTGAGCAACTGCCAAAGCAGATGATAATTTCGTACAAAAACAAGGGGCAGTTAAATATCTTCAGTACTAGAAAATTGGAGAAAGATAAAAAAAAAAAGAAGTCATGTTATAAAACAATGGTTGACTTTTGATATCAGTTGATTCAATTATTTATTAACCCCTAAGAAAGATCTATATTAAATGAACAAGTTAGTATGATCTGGATACTTTGTGCAGAAAGGCCATGTGTGATGTCATAAATATGTTAAAATTGACATATATATTTGATTTCAGCTTCCCAATTGTAGCAACATTCCAGCAGCGCCTGCATACGGAGTATATATCTCCCAGTTGATACGATATTCCAGGGCTTGTATTTCCTATCATGATTTCCTTGATAGAGGGTTGCTGCTCACAAGGAAGCTATGAAACCAAGAGTTCCAAGTGGTGAAGTTGAAATCATCCCTTCTTAAATTTTACGGACGCCATTACGAGTTGGTTGACCGTTATGGATATCCATTTTCACAGATGATAGCGGATATGCTCCAAATATCGTAACTACAATCGCGTCCCCTTTTCCCCCGAACGTGACCTACCGATTTAGAATTATTACCGGGTTTATACGTACATGAGCAATACGACGGGTGCCACATGTGGAGCAGGATCTACTTACCCTTCAGGTGCACCTGAGATCACCCTCAGTTTTTGTTGGGGTTCGTGTTGCTCAGTCTTTAGTTTTCTATCTAGTGTTTTGTGTACTATTGTTTGTCTGTTGGTCTTTTTCTTTTTTAGCTATGACGTTGTCTGTTTATTTTCGACTTATGAGTTTGAATTCCCCTTTGGTATCTTTCGACTCTCTTTTGAACTTATATGAACATTTTACACATAGCGCTGTTTTTCTAGACAAAGGAGATATGAGCAACAGCTTTATCCAAATAGATAGTTTACACACCTGTGTAAAATACATATTGTAGCAAAATACTTTTTTGGTAGAGCCGTAACTTAAAATCATCTCAAAATAAGGCAATTTTGGAGTTGATGCAGTTTGGTACTTAATTCAAGAAGTTCGAACCCTTAACGCAAATAGTTAAAAAAAATATTTCAAAAAATAAATAAATGTGTCTAACAACCTAATGTTTTAGCGACATCAGAAGGGTAGTTATATGGTAGATTTACGAAACGTTTTGATTTTCAAATTCAAGTGGCCAAAAAGGCGCCTTATCACAACATCTCTCTTAATTTACAATGTTTACCGACAGGTAAACTAAGGTGGCAAATCCAGACGTCAGATGATTTTAGCTATACTGGTCGAACTTTTTTCACATTAGTATCTTTAGACTTTTTTGGCCCCTCAAACTTTTGGTATCGAGCATATCTTTGTGAGGATGGTTCAGAAAAGAAGATCGTGAAATCGGCACCAAAATATTACAAAACTATTACTGGATCGGTGCAATTGTTGGCGATCTAACAATACTCGAAGATGCAATCTGCTCAAAAGCCAGTATTTTCGTCCTAACAGGATTTAAATGATACAGTTTGACTGTAAATATTTTCAATTGCTAAATTAGATATTCGTACTACGAAGAGGTGCATTCAAAAACAAAAAAATGAAGAGGAACAGACTATGCATTTGTTTAAGGAAAAAGACAAATATTAATCCACACTATATTACAGAAGAAAAAACAGATTAAGCAATACAAACGAAAATTTAATATGTTTTCTGGAAGGATAAGTAGTTCCTGTTGCGCTGTCGACAGCTATCGCAATACAGTGTTTTTTGTCGGAAAAAAGGGGGGAAAATTGATAAAAAGCAAATCGGACATAAAGCAACGGACAGAAAACAAACGTTGTGGACAAACCCAAAATTTCTGAAAAAAAGCAAGGAACAAAAAGCAAAATTTGCGGACAAAAAGCAATCGATCAATGCTTTCGGACAAAAAGCAATTGGCAGACGGAAAGCGCTGGGTCAATCGTTTGCCATTCACCTTAAATCAAAACAGGTAATCAATCGTAATCTTTGTTGTAAATAATATCTAGGATTGAAAAACGTTCGCCATCCTGGAATTTTTACAATTCAATCGTTTTAGTCTCTTCATGACTTTTTCTGAGATTACTTAATATTAAGTAAATATAATCAAGGGGATGAAGTGGATGACCGTTTGAAGTTTGGGGGAGTTAGCAGGATGAATTTGGAAATGGATATGCTTGCCTGGTAAAAACTGAAAATAAATAACCTTGTACAAGTCAGGATGTAAATGAACATCCTGCTATTTACTGCAATGTGAGCATTTGTTGATTATGATTCAAATTTCTAGTATACTAAACAAAATTAACGGTTTTTTCGCAAAAACATGTGGTTGTTGTACTGACGGGATTTACCTTGCGTAGTGTGATACTCCCAAACAAAGTTTGATATTTTGTGTAAGGAGTTTTTTTTTTTTAATATTGGCATTGCAACAAAAGCATTATGTCTATTTTGTTTATTGACAAAGAGAAAGAAAGGGCAGATATGTTTACAATAAAAGATTATACTTCAAGTGTTATCAAAAAGATACAATTATAACCATTTCCAGAATATAAATGTACATACTAAGACAATAAAAGATCCGTATAAACGGGTTTGAGAAAAATCCTTGTATAACTTTATAGTCCTTGAAGGCTTAGCAAATTCTTAATAGCATTTCCTGTCTGGGTTTTGAAATTGTTGAGATCCTGTCGTAGACGTGCCACATCATTCTTCAATGATCGAATCTCGTTTTCAGATTTGATGTTTTTCGTCACAAGGTCGTTGAATTCGGGAAACATTACCAACACCGAAGATGTGGACAATCCGTAAGACAGATTGGACATTTTGACGATCAAAAGAACAATACACACAACATACAGTTTCTGCATTTCTGCAAAGAGAATAAAATATATAAAAGATAAAAAAAAATGTTGTTTAAATATATATCACAAAAGAGAATCCCTCATGTAAAAGGTTTTTTTTCGATCATACATCAGAATTACTATATATATAACTACTGTTTTGTAGTTCTGTGTATTCTTTCGCCGTGCGTTTTCGACCTTGCATTATTTTGACAATTTATTTTATCCCTTGTTTTTTGGGGGCCAAAAATATAATATTTGTGTATTTTGTGTAATCTATAAAGGATATTTGACTTTCTATTGTTTTTGGAGGTTCTGTTTAGTCGTTCGGTGATAGTTGACCTTTGTATACCATTAAATCAACTTGGCTATATGTGTATACTAAGTACGAAATATTTTATTTACGAAAACTCCGAATGGAATATGCGTTAATACAGGACGAGATATATATACATAGGGAACAAAAGAAAAAAGACACAATACAAACATTTAAAGAAAATGAACAATTACAAAAAAATGACTAAATACTCCAGTATCCTTATTTTATCCAGTACTTTATCATGTTCAATATAAAATCTATATTTAGCATGTTTAATGCATTGTGAAACCATAAATGTCAAATTCGAAGATCTTGTGTTTACTACGAAAATTTATTCAAAATGCCGAATATTATTTTTTGCTTAAATAATTATCATGACAATCAAATATATTATCAATTACATTGTAGGTTGTCAATTGGTATAGAATATTTTGTTCAAGTTGGACATACTCCTAAATTTCATGATGCATACAGTAGAAACAGTTTAACTGTGTGATCAAATACATGGATAAATGTGCTTATTTTTGGATTACCACACTTGCAAATACTACATAATTTTGAAAATAGATGTTTAACCTCTCTTGATTAATAATTAATGATTTATAAAGTTTCCATTTTTTGTAAAAACAGAATTGATGAGGTATATATTATCTAAATATAATTAACCACATAACATTCATTTTATTTTATTTTAAATGTAATAATAACGATATTTATTATATACTTATAGAGTAAATAACTTTTAAGTTTTACAGTGTGATAATAGCAGTAAATTTACGTGAATTCCATATTTTCCGAAATGGTGCTTAGCGGGCTGATATGATAAATTTATCAACTGCTTCCGGCTTTGGTGGCAGATCGGAGAGTAAAACGCGTAGAACATACGGATATGTTTATTAGATCTCGTAGTCATTAATTTGGAGCACTCGTATTTTGATTAAATGAATCAATTATGCCATTCATACACAAATAAAACAATGAAGTGCTCCAGTTGTAACTTTGCTAGACTTCAGTGTTTAACATTTTACTTAGTGATCTCGTAATACTGTTTCACGTACATGTAGAGTAATCCTCTCGTAATACTGTTTCACGTACATGTAGAGTACTCCTCTCGTAATACTGTTTCACGTACATGTAGAGTACTCCTCTCGTAATACTGTTTCATGTACATGTAGAGTACTCCTCTCGTAATACTGTTTCACATACATGTAGAGTACTCCTCTCGTAATACTGTTTCACGTACATGTAGAGTACTCCTCTCGTAATACTGTTTCACGTACATGTAGAGTACTCCTCTCGTAATTTTTTTAATTTTTTTTTCCATATATATATTGGGGCTTTTAACGAGATTTACAGTACTCGCTACGTCAATTGATACTCGATTTATTTTATGTTACTCGACTTTACAATCGAAAATATTGATTGTAGTTTTAGTTTATTGTGAAATTCAAAAATAGTATAGGATTAAATAAGACTCAACTTTAATGACCAAGTTAAATTTTTAAACACATAATTACAGAGATGAGGTATGGCTGTCAAAGAGATAAAAATAATTTCAAATGGACGTAAGATCGGTACTAAGCACACATATCAACTAATCAAATAACAAAGAATACCAAGTACCGATTTAAGAGTAAATGCAGTTACTGAAAGCTAGTTCAAAGCTCAAAAAATTGCAACTAACAAATAGTTAATTTTTTCACAGACTAAAACGTTAATCAGTTAGGACGTCATAAACAGTATGGGCGAAAAAATTAGCGGTCAAGGTCATCTTTCTGCGTCTCCACAACTGGGAAAATAAATCTCATACTGACATAATAATACTTTTACAATGTATATTGATTCTCCATTTTTTTACAAGAATGTGTTTAATTCTAAGGTCATCCTCCGTTTTTTTACTTTATAGCATCAATAAACAAGAGTATGACATTGAATTTCACCTTTAAATTTTTTCAATGCGCCTTTTTAGAATCTAATGCATACTGGGTAATATTTTTCTAAGCGTACACTATCGTTGTAATTGGCTAACGACGACCTTAATAATGGGAATTCAACCAATGACTTGTAACAAACAGTACCTATAGTCCTTAAAATTCTGCCATTTGTAAAAAATCTGTCCAATTTGATAGTGTCAAACTCTCTGCAATAATTTTCAAACTGAATTTATTGCTCTTAGCTTTCTAATATTGTTGCTTTTTGTGGGTTGATATAAATCAACACAAGCATTGCTGCATATAAATAACGCAACCGCACAAGTGCAAGCTATTCAATTTTTTAAGTTTTGAGCTTCTTTTGAGTAACATATACAATTTTACAAACTCAATTACATCAGCATCCTAAATGCTCACTGTTCATCAAAACTCGCTCTTTGAAGTGAGACGAGTCCTTGCAGTGATTAAAATAAAACTAAGTCTTCAAAAACTATCTGAGGTATAGATTGGTTACCACATATGTATGCTTTTTTAACATATTCATTGTACATACCTTCGATTCTTATGGATTACAAAAAGTATAATCTTTCAATACAACAGTGCAGTATTTTTGTGTACTTGTTGTGTTGTGCGTCCTAATACGTTCAGTTTTAATATATCGTGTGTCGCCCTGCGGAAACAATCTTAGTCACTTAGTTAAAAAAAAAATCCGTGGCTATACTTCAATATCAAATAATTAAAAACAAAATTCACCTCCGTAGTTGTATGCGTTAACTTATGAATTTTGCAAAATCCATCCTTGTGAATCAAAGTTTATCATTTAAATGGCCTAGAAATGACCCGAAATATATGTCCACATCCAAAACAATGCAGATAGATATATGACATTTAAATGATATTTATGTAACAAATATAGACTTTTCTTACACTGTTTTACTTCTGATTCAATTTTTGTGCTTTCAAAAAATGATAAGAAATTAATTGAATTTGTTGTAAACAATATAACCTCGTAATCGTCCGTTTGTATATTATTCATTTTATTACTGAATATCTTAAGGACGTGTACAATACAATGTATATATAAGTATTGCACTAGGGATGTCCTAGTTTATGGAAAAGCTAGTATACTGCGTTAATACGGTTAAGGGGGATACTGGTGGAACAAGACTGCTGAAATAACCCCTTCCGGAGTACACCTGCGATCATTTTCACAAAAAAAACTTACGAGAAAAAAATACTCTTAAGGACAACGAAACTGTTTAGATCCCACGGTGATTTTTTTAAGGAAAATTCGCAAACAAGCTATTTTTCACTTAGTCAATTCAAATATGTAATAAAAAATATACCTTCATGTGCTAAATTAAGAGATAAATGGGGTTGAAATTTTAGACATTCACTTAAAATTTCGGTTTCTTGGAAATTTCTATCTTTTGGACAGACACACTTAACTTTGTTTGTTTCAAAACATAAACTCATGCGGATTTTTGTAAAAAGATCAGGAATATCTTCTTTACAAAATTATGCTCTACATTTGTGTAACAATTCTTTGTAAATAATTTATTTTAATTACATTTTAGAATATTCTGGAAAAAAACGGCATTTTTTGCTGCATATTTACCTAATTTTAAAAAAATTCATTGGGGATTTTTTCATAAAAAAGTGGAACAAATAATCTTCATATAGTATCGAGTTAAATGTCAATTTAAAAAAAGAGGGCTCCATGTGCTCGTTTTTATGCTAATTATTAAAAACACTCGAGAAATGCATCTTTTTCCGATATGTCGCAGTTTGACGTCGCGAAAAGTAACATTTTACGTTAGCAACGTCATTACCTCCCCTGTAACTGTATCGTTTGCATTTAATTCAGCCAAGTTTTGAGCTTTTCTTGTTTTTATGAGTGTGTTCTGATGTCTAGTTTGTTTTTATGAGTAGTGTTCCGATGTCTATCTTGTTTTTATGAGTGTGTTCTGATGTCTAGCTTGTTTTGTGTGTAGTGTTCTGAGCTCTATCTTGTTTTAATGTGTAGTGTTCTGATGTCTAGCTTGTTTTTATGTGTAGTGTTCTGATGTCTAGCTTGATTTAATGAGTGTGTTCTGATGTCTAGCTTGTTTTTATGAAGAATGTTCTGCGTTCTAGCTTGTTTTACATGAGTAATGTTCTGCGGTCTAGCTTATTTTTATGAGTTGTGATCTGATGTCTAGCTTGTTTTTATGTGTAGTGTTCTAAGGTCTAGCTTGTTTTTAAGAGTGTGTTCTGATGTCAAGCTTGTTTTTATGAGTTTGTTCTGATGTCACGCTTGTTTTTAAGTGTGTGTTCTGATGTCAAGCTTGTTTTTATGAGTGTGTTCTGATGTCTAGCTTGTTTTTAAGAGTTAATTCTGATGTCAAGCTTGTTTTTAAGAGTGTATTCTGATGTCAAGATTGTTTTTATGAGTTGTGTTCTGATTTGTAGCTTGTTTTTATGGGTAGTATTCTGATGTCTAGCTTGTTTTTATGAGTTGTGTTCTGATTTGTAGCTTGTTTTTGTGAGTAGTGTTCTGATGTCTAGCTTGTTTTTATGATGTGCGGCGGTCTGTCTTGATTTTATGAGTGTGTTCTGATGTCTAGCTTGTTTTTATGAGTGTTTTCCTGGTGTCTAACTTGTTTGTATGAGTAGTGTTCCGAGGTCTAGCTTGTTTTTATGAGTTGTGTTCTTATGTCAAGCTTGTTTTTATGAGTAGTGTTCTGATGTCTAGCTTGTTTTTATGAGTGTGTTCTGAGCTCTAGCTTGTTTTTATGAGTAGTGTACTGAGGTCTATTTTGTTTTTATTAGTAATGTTCTGAGGTTTAGCTTGTTTTTATTAGTGTGTTCTGATGTCTAGCTTGTTTGTATGAGTAGTGTTCCGAGGTCTAGCTTGTTTGTATGAATAGTGTTCTGAGCTCTAGCTTGTTTGTATGAACAGTGTTCTGAGCTCTTGCTTGTTTGTATGCGTAGTGTTCCGAGGTCTAGCTTGTTTTATGAGTAGTTTTCTGATGTCCATCTCGATTTTTTTAGTAGTGTTCTGATTTGCAGCTTGTTTTTATGAGTGTGTTCTACTACTACTACTAAATAGAGTTTAATGGCGACTACCCTTGCGGGTATTGCGCCAGATTACCTTATATAAAAACATTTTAAATAAATGTTTTAAAATTTATTATTATTTAGGAATTAACCTGTATTATATATTCATATTATAGTAAATTGTGAGTTTTTTTTTTTTTTTTTTTTTTTTTTTTTTTTCCCCTTAAATTTAATCTTTATATTTAAATCTGAACTATGGTGTGTATTTTAATTATCTTAATTATCTTGTGGTTAATTTATAGTGAGAAGAAAAATTTTTGTGGACTTATTTTTCTGTTATTTGTAACTTAGCCTGCTTTATTTATAAATATTAAATGATTTGGTAAGTAGGTGTGTTTGTTGTTTATACATGAGAACTGTAAGTATCAAATACTCTTGGATATACATATCTGACTTTTCCAAATATGCAAATCCTAGAAGGGGTCTGACATATTCCCGTACATGGTATATACATTAATACAATTATACCGCGGCTCGTACGTCCTTGGTAAATTGTGATTCTCTGTATATTGAATTTGACTAAAGATAGCACCTTCACTTATATTATAAAAGATTCTTAAACTTACGTTCTAGAATAAAAATATAGTATTACCGTGTATGTATAATTAGGATCTATAAGATTAATGTATTGTTTTGACATTTTTGTGTGTAATAAATAGTAAGTGTTCATGTTTTGCAGTTATGTACAGTATAGATACCAGAGAGTGCTATCTTGGTAGTACTTGATTTAGTGTACTACTTTAAAAAAAAAAAAAAAAACTTTCGTAAAAGTTTTAGTGTATATTGTCAAATTCAACGGGGTTATATTTCTAATATTTAGAAATCATAAACTGATAAATGATACCTTCCAGCTCTGTTACAACTATTAAAAAGCCAATATTTAGAAATAAAAAAACTAAAAAAGGTAAATAATATATATCTACCAAATTATTTGTTTTTGGTGTCGCCCGTTTAGACTGGAGTTGTTTCCCTTGCACTGTAAAGAAATAAACATTGTAGGTAAATACTTGCAGCCGTGAAGCTACCACGTGGTAACCATGTGCTTTAAGCAGACACGGCGAGGAGGCTGTGAGCAAACAGTTCCAGCCCTAACGGATGATTTAGCAGCCGTGAATAGTAATGATAGACAATAATACTATAAATACAAGGTTAGTATTTACACGGTGCTTTGTTTTTGGTCGTTGTAAAATGTGCTGGTTGGTTCTTAAAATCATCATATCACAAGGACCGGGGTTCTGGCAAGCCAGTGCCCTCAAAGAAAAATATCCCACAATAAGATAACTCATCTCGTCCGTCGACCCCATGTATAACCCTATCAATATTTTAGCTACGGTGTCAATAGTTTATCCATTGACAGCAGCTGAATCACATTCCTCATAATGTTAGTTAGGTACATATATATATACATGCAGTTAATTCTTGTTGTGAGGTTTGTGTCCCCAATTTGATTTGGGATGGACCGACGAGAGAGTGATTGTGATTGATGATTTCTGGGAGATATGTCAGACTCCTGTGGCATGATATTTTACATATGATCACATAGATATAGGAAGATGTGGTATGAGTGCCAATGTACATGTATTTATAAGAAAATTATAATAAGATCTACTTAATGCTAATTAAATTAATCAATTTTATTTTCATTTCCTTACATAGATTTTCTCATATCAAGAGTTCAATTAATCAGTTGTTACAAATGTAATTAGTATTTTGAATACTTGATACTTCTTGTGATACTTGTTAAAATCCATGGATTGTTGTCCAGTGACTAATATTTCATGTTTTGTTAAAAGTAATTTTACTAATGATTTACAAGTCCTAAAGTGTTTTTCATTTCTGTTTACCTATACTGATAATATCTGTAGGTATTCTCACCCTTACCATAGGTATCCTATTAAAATAATTATAAGCATGTTTTTACAAAGTTTAAACTAGAAACTAGAAATATATAGCTAGCTTTTTAGTATATTGATATTCTGAATAATTTTACTTTTATCGCATACCCGTGTTTATTAAATAATCCCATATTGGGATTAGTGTCTGTGAATATCCTGAGAATAAATTTTTATATGAGAGATCTTTTACACCTGTTGATTCAAACTTTTCCATCATTTTTTGTCTTTGTGGTATGTACTTCCTACAGTTAAACAGGTAGTGTTGCATGTCGTCCACTACTAAACATGTGTCACACAGTTCACTATTACATTTACCCATTGTGTATTTGAATTTATTAGTGAATATATAACTTGATCTAAGTTTAAATAGAGTTCTTTCTCTTTCTCTAGTACTCTTTGGTATAGTAATACAAAAGTTAACATTATTTTGAATAGTGTGTAGTTGTTTACTTTTTGTGTTATTTTCCCAGTATTGTTGCCACATTTTCTTTAGTAAATTTTTACATAAACATTTGATATCTTCTTTGTAAAGCGGTATATTAGTTATACATGTCTCTATTGATAGAGCCTTTTTAGCTGCTGTGTCTGCCATTTCATTACCACTTAAACCCACATGACTGGGTATCCATTCTAAAAGGATATTCAAACCTAATTTGGAAAGTTTACTATATATATATTGAATGTCATATATTATTTGTGTTTTAACTTTGAATATACTTCCTGTGATAGCTTTTAGTGCTGACAGTGAATCTACAAATATTACAGTATTTTCTGGTTGAAATTCTTCTAACCAATATAAAGATAAAAGTATGGCTGTCAATTCACACATAAATATTGAAACATGGTTTTGCAATTTAAAACCTTTATTAACTTTAAGTTCTGGTACTACAAAAGCACATGCATTTGTGTTGTTTTCTGGATTCTTAGATCCATCTGTATATATTTTTAAAAAAT